TATAATAAAATATATATAAAAAATATTTGCCGAAACATTTCAAAGAAATGGCAAAGTAGGAAAAATTTGTAGCATCGCATTCTTGGCCATTTTATGAACCTTTTCAGATTCATTTATTACTCAAAAAGGTATTCTGCGCGTAGACAAAAGAGTGTAATTTAATTTAATATAAGTTTCATTAAAATCTATTAACTTATAGTAGAAAAAATATTTACCAAAACTTTTCAAAGAAATTACAAAGATGCACAATTTACAGCATTGCATTCTTTGACATTTTCTTAACTTTACATGCTAAATTTATAATTTGATATGGTATTCTACGAGTAGACAAAAGAGTGTACTTTAACTTAATATTAGTTTCATTAAAATCTATTCACTTTTAGTATAAAAAATATTTATCAAAACTTTTCAAAGAATTAGCAAAGTTGTACAATTTAAAGCAATGAATTCTCTGACATTTTCTAAATTTCACATGCTAAATTTATAACTCGATATGGTATTCTACGCGTAGACAAAAGAGTGTATTTTAATTTAATATAAGTTTTATTTAAATCTATTCACTTTTAGTATAAAAAATATTTACCAAAACTTTTCAAAAAATTAGCAAATTTATATCATTGCAATCTCTGATATTTCCTACGTGTAAAATACCTTATCGAGTTATAAATCGATTTGCAAAGGTTCGGTCTTTATTTTTTAAACATTATTACAGATATTCATAGATATTTCCACGGAAATCTGTATCTTTTGCTCCCTATCGTATTAGAAGATACACAGATTTAGAACGAAATGTTTTTTGCCTGTATGGGTTGTTTTAGGGGGGAGGGGTTGCGTATGGCTGTGCGTGTCTGTACCCGAAAGTGTATTCTTTTCATCGTTGTTTAAATAGTAATTTAACATTCTATAGAATATCAAAGTATTATATTCGATGCCTAGGAAAAACTGGAAGAATTTTTCAATTACCGACTTCGTCTGAATGCTCTTTGCAGTCATAGTAATGCCAAGGAATTACTAGCAATGACTGATTCCCGGCTTTGACTGTAACATATATATATTTCATACGTATACGATTCTTTTTCAAAGTACACACCGGGTGTCTGGAGTTTGAACGATCGTTCATAATGTTTACCTGGATTGTTAGCGTAACGTTGATAAAACTTGTTAGCCATTCTAGCGTACTTGTACCGTAGACGTGTCGCGTATATATAATCCGTTTTAATCTAGGATTAGACGCAGAAGCGATGGCTTAATACGATACGCTGAATGAGTGTTAGACATTTGCATACCGAGATCCTAGCCCTTTCCACGGCTCTTTCTCAATGAGAATGATATCTAAAGCATCTGGCTTTAATCAACGCTAAACTATCATGACTGATAAATTATAAGAACATTATTTTGCATCACGATCCCCATCCTCTTGAGAGAGTTACGATCATTCACACAAAAATATTCAAGTATCTCGCGAAACAATATAATCACCGTGAACTAATAATATTTTTTTTCTTTTAAGAAAATCTTCTTTACCATAGATACTTTTTATATGTCAAATATCATTTATTACTATTATTAATTGTGAATGAAAATTAGAATAATGGGTGGGTGGGGGGGGGAGGATATAAATGAAAGAAGATATTTTTGCGAATGATCAATCAAATAATTCAATGATAATAATATAACTTTTGAGAAAATAGTTAAAAAGTAAATGTAACTAATTGCCGGTAAAAGCATTTTTTATTTTTCTTACGACACTCTCTCTCTCTCTAAAAGCCATTAAAATGAAATACGATTTGAAGAGTTTCTTCTATTTCCCTTTACATTCACGCCTACAGATACGTTTTTTGTTACCTCGAAGGGAATTTATCGTGTAGCTTTTTGCTCGACTGAGACGTATAAGAATCGTTTTTTCTTTTTTTTCATTTTATATTTAAAAAGTCTCTACTTAACTGTTATCTAAAAAATTGTAGTTACAAAAATTTCACCGAGAGAACATTTCGTAGTTTGGCCATTAAGTTGATATACATTTTAATGAGTTCTTCCCAAAGAACGACGACGACGTACACGTTTAGATCTCACGTCATAGATCCCATCCAACGGTGCGTCCTTTTGATTTATTATCTAAAAGTGTTCGAATAACGTACGTGAATGCTAATCCGATGGGACGAATAAATGGAATATTTTGTTAAAAAGGAAAAAAAAAAAGGAAAAAAAAAAAAAGGAAGGAGTCATTTTTTAACGAAACGCTCGCACGACAAAAGTGTCCTCCATTATTTCCATCATTTCAATATAATCCAGAGTGTCTCTCCGATGGAACAGACTTTTTCAATCCATGATTTATTCACGTATCAGCCCTTTTGGATTACATATATATATATAGATAGTGGATTATTGTGAATGCTCCAACGCAACCTGCCAGATCCATTATAAGATGCAACCGATTGCATTTTGCAGCGTGCGGCATTCGCGAACTTCGTGACAATCTTTTTTTTTTATTTTCAATGTTTAAACCATCTCATTCTATAGGATGATTAGAATTTTATACGATCCTTTCCTTTTTTTTCCACTTAACGTATTTTCTTTTTTTTTTTGTTTCGGTACTGTTACTACCCATTTTGAATATCAATGAAAAATTCTTACTCGTCTTAAGTAATATAAGAGGATACGCAATTTCGTTCGTCTATTTAGAAAATGGCGTTGCACGAGTTGTGCACGGTGTTAAGCTTTAATAGCCCGAAGTCTCCTTGAAACTTTCGATAAGGCTATCAAACCGATACGAGTTTGTATCGGCGATCGAGAGTCCAGTATCTTCCTTCGATATCTCGCTTCGAGAACTATGATGATAGGAAGGGGACCCCTTCCTTTAGCGAAGACAACTAATCGAACGGTTTAACAATCTCTTCCTAACTTCCTTTCTAAATTAGTATATGATAATATACGATGTTTGTAGAATAAGTAATTAAACACGTGAAAATATTCAATCTCTTTCTAACTTCCCTTCTAAATTAGTATATGAAAGTATACGATGTTTGTAGAATAAATAATTAAACACGCGTGAAAATATTTTGTTAAAAATAATTTCAACAACAACAACAAAATGCTTCCATAGACAAAACAAGAAATGATCAAATTGATTAATTTTAGACAAACAAACAAAAAATATCTATGGTTAATTAACAATATAATATCTTTTTGTTACAGGTACGTTTCCGTTCGTGCCTTACGTTTCCGTGGTAACGTATAAACATACATACACACCTACATTATGCAACACGCGTGCATATCACGTCCTCAATATTTAAACAAAACGAACATGGATAGAAAGAAGAGGAAAGAGGATAAAACAAAATAAAAAAAAGAAAAAAAAAGTAGCAACGTTGACTCGTACGTATATACTAAATAGTACGACGCAGAAGAAAGTTCTATTGACTCCGTGGCACTGTGTAAATTTCCATTAAACCAGGTACGCGTTAACGTAGCACCAGCAGCTCGTGGACAACGTCGCTTCATTAACGCGAGAATCCTTTTCATTCCGGTTGAATGTGTACACGTTGAAAAGGAAAAGCACGACGAGCGCGTGGCAAACGGAGGTGTGTGGGTGGTGGTGGTAGTGGTAGTGGTAGTGGTGGTGGTGTAGGCGAGATAGATATGCTTGAAATAGTAATGGAGAAAGTACAATGGTTACCCTAGTATATCCCGTGACATCGGTGTCTATTTCTATCTCACTTTCTGTCCGTCTGTTTCTATATATATACGACTAGAGTGTTGAGACTGAAAATAGTATGAGAAAAAGATATGCCATAAATATGACAGATATACACCAGTACATACTTTAATCCATTCGCACGGTATTGTCAACTAGAGACAACTATAAATTTTAATCAACCGATATCTCGTTAAAGTATTATATAGAATTTAATTTATTTATACGATATAATTATATCAAAATGTTATACACGAAATATCGTTGACATAGAGATTTATTTATAAAAATTAAACGAGAAAAAAAAGCCCACAGATGAATCTTTTTTTTTTCTAGAAGATAAAGTTTCTTCGCCATTCGCGAAAAGTCCAATGGGGGTAGGTAATCTTTAAGATATACAAAAAGGCACCGTGAATTAAGAAATTAACATTGGAAATAAAGTTGTCGGCAATATAAATAAAATCCACTAACTTTAATCGCTTTATCGAGCGATAAGTAAAGAAAGAAAAGGGTTTTTAAAGAATTAAACGCGTTCGCGCGAGGAAATGTATTCCTCTTATCTTTCTCTCTCTCTCTCTCTCTCTCTTTCTTTTTTATTTTTTACGTTCTTCCCCTCTGTGTTTTCGTTCTTTTTTTTCTTTTCTAACGGACTCGAGCTTGACAGACCCTGCTCGGTTGTCCGCTTTCATCGATTTTAACGCTCGAACTCTTTAATTATTATTTGCCATACAGAGGAGGCATCGATAATGGAAGCTAAATAATGACATTGCATCGTTAGCAACGTCGAAAGGGGTCTTTCTTTAATGTTCGATGAAGTCATTTAGCATCCTCGTTTATTCCTTTTTTTTTTCTTCTTTTTTTAAATATCTTTTTTTTCTCTTTTCTATCTTTTTTCATGCTTACCCTTATTGCACGTTATGTTCAACGATATTTACTTAACTCCTTGTTGCACGCATCGTCAAAACAATTTTTCGATCGATTCCTTACGATTTTTATATTCGATACTTTAACGTGTTTGGAAATATTATACATTGGTTTTATTTGATGCTAACGTAAATCAATCTTACGTAAAATTATGTCAAAGTTCGTATTAGTTCGAATTAATACTTCAATTTGGTCAATTGGATTTCTATGAAGTTTGATTTTATAACTCGTTTGTTCTCATCGTTCATCCTTCGTTGAACTTTATCGTTTAGAAGAAGAGATATCAGTAACTAAATCCATCATTTGGTGAAACAATTTTTCTTATTAATTCATGAACTCGACGGAATATTATTCGACGATTAAAAAGATATTTCGTATTCCTTCGAGTCGAGTTTTTCTCAACTTATATATTCTTTCTTTATTGTCTCTCTCTTTCTCGCACGTTCAATAAATTCATTCATTCATTCATTCATTCTTTCTTTCTTTCTTTCTTTTCCCGCGACTCGCGAGATATCGCAAACTCGGCAGTTAACTTCTTGAAAACGCGAGATTCCAACGCGAGGAACCTTTCGGCTACTTTTCTTTGACGTTTCAACTTCCTCGCTTTCACATTATTAGCGTCTATTAAGTTTTCTCCGTTATACTTTCTGCGTTCTCGTTTTAAAAATTAACGAGGACATAGAATTCCACTTAGAATCCTTTTATTCTAGTTTTTTTTCCTTTTTGTTTTTTTTTTTTTTTTTTACCTTTCTTTCAACAAATTTGATTATCTTCGATACCCTCGAACGATTTTATCCAACTAAAATTCGTTAGATAAATAAAAAGTATTACACCAAAAATATCATTTAAATTTGCGAGATTGAGCAAAAATATATTATAACAGATAGATCGTATCGTCATTCCTGAAATATTGGCCAATTTATTTTCATCGGAATTCTATAAAAAAAAAAAATAATGTCATCTTCGAAATAAGGGATACCAAAAATGTGCGATTAGAAATAGGCTAATTTTTCTTTTTTTCCTCCCCCCACCCCTCCCCACCTACCCCACACTCCCCAATGTTTGTCACTTCAATCGAGACTTTTAAATCCGACAGTTTATTTTCTAGAACCGCATTATTCGACCAGAGTTATCCGTCCTTCCACTCTTGCTAATGGCTCGAAACTCGTTACTAGCTGCTGAAGAAGGTTAGGTTAGGTAGGGGTAAGGCTTCCACGGAAGAACACGAAAACTTTTTGAGGACCGGGAGCGTTCCTTTAATTACTTGGAGTTTTGAGTGGACTTGTACCTTTACCGCCACTACACTTACAGGAACCCTTCTCCCTCTCTAGGGAATCCAACATTCCAATGTCGTTAATATATATGAGAGTTTTTCTATCTCTCTTCCTCTTATTCACATACCACGTAATTTCTTGCTATATCAATATACGAGTGAATTTATCTTTATTTGAGTTCACCTTTTTTTTTTTTTCTTACTCTTCAAGACCCCCTTTTCTTCCATGATTTTTTTGCCATCTTCTCGTTAAACAAGTTCTATTAACACGCGACTGCTGAAACAATTTTACATAAATTCATACTAATGTAAGTTTGAGAATTTTGCTCTCGTGTTTTTTTTTGTACACCCTCCGCCTTTCCTTCTTTCCCCTAGCATCACCACCACCATTCCTTTAGATTGAAGATAAGAAAGTCACTTTTTAAAACGGAAACTTTTAATTTCGTTTTCCTAAATGACACTAAAGGAATTTTTCAAATATTACGAACTCTGCAATATTGTTGTTTTCAAGTATTAACATTCAGATAGAACGTAACAGTATATTTTTAAATAGCAAAATACGATTGTTCGCGTTACTTCGTTCATTTTTGTCAAAGTTTTTCAATGATACACCTATAATTGTCTTTTATCTTTGTTGCACGCGAGTTAAACTTCGATATTAAATAAAAATTTCTTTTTTTCCTTGAATGTTAGGAAGACTCTGGAAGCTTTGTGTTAAGAGAACAAGAATGCTTGCGATGGAACAGAAAAGGGAACGATTTTATTAAACGTTTTCGAAGTGGCCATGGCGAAAGAGGAAAGAGAAAGAGAAAGAGAAAGAGAGAGAGAGAGAGAGAGACTTATCAATATGGATGTGTTTAACTTACTGCATAATGGAAAAGACCTTTCCCCTTCGGCCAAGCAGTATAACGGCGTAATCATTACTTTGCAGGACGTCCGGACGGAAACTCGGTTAACTGGAATCTCCACTCGGTGAACTAATTGAAAGAATCCTCTCTTTACTTTCGAGCATGCTTCTTCTATCTCGCTCGTTCATTCAACCGTCCACTCTCTCTCTCTCTCTCTCTCACTTTCTCTCTCTTTCTCTCTCTTTATGCTTTTCTTTTTTCTTTATGTCGTTTCGTTCCCTTTACTCCTTTCTACTCTTCATAAAAATATCTTCCAACTCATCGCCGTGAGATATACGTCTCTGTATTTTTATATATATATATAACAAAAGCTTTATTATTCTCGGTAAATTCTCGTGAAATTTTCATCGTCTTCTCTTCATCTTTAGTCTTCGTCAAAGGTGATAGACAAAGAAATAACGAGAAAAGGAAAAATTAATGATAATAATAATAATAATAAGAAGAAGAAGAAGAAGAAGAATAAAGGAATAAAATTGTAAAAAAAATGAAAGGAATATTCGCGAAGATCTGGAATCGTCGTTAATCGTCCATTGGCTGGCAAATATTTATCAAACGGTTCACTCTGTTGTGGAGAATCTGTAACGTCTCTAATTTGTCTTTGCGTTGATACATTCACCGTAATTGGGAAAGCAATCGGACTAATTAATAGTCAAGGAGGACCGTTTCTAGGCGGCACGTCTCAATGGGAACACTGTTCACTCTATCTCTATCTCTCTCTTTCTCTCTCTGTCTCTCTCGTCTTTGATTATCTTTGTCTATCGTCTGTTCGTCTGTCTTTGTTCCTTTCCATTTACATCTTATCATTGACTAGAAACGCATTCGATGCAAACGACGTTCTATAACTATAAAATGTTGATCCTTATCACCACCTTGGGTGGTCCACCATCTGTTTAACAACGAGCATTTTATTACCGACGAATAATAAAACGTTAAATCGAATTTTGAAAATGAGATGGTAACGAAATGACAATACGTTTGTAACATAAGTAAATTTCATTTTCCCATAGGATCAGAAATTATGGATTTATTTTATGCTGATCAATCGTTTCGTCAACGTGTTGATAAAGTATTTGAAATCATAAAAAGGAATAATAAGGAACAGTTTATTTTGTTTTACTTTTATAGGAAAGAAAGGAGAGTAATTTGAGAGAAAGAATGAAATGTTGAAACTAGTTAAACGTGATCAATACAGAAAATGGAAAATGAATGATACAGGAAATAGAAAAATAATACATTTATCATTTGAAATTACTAGAATATATATACAGTGATACTATTTTACATTTTTTTGTTTTATTTTTTAGAGAAAGAATACTGTATCAGTATCTGCTCGATATTTTTATTCTCAATGTAAATGAAAAACAAAAAAAAAAGGAAAAAGAAAAATTAAAACGTATCACGATCAACTTTTTCAAAGTCCAATCTAAATGAAGCCGTTCGTTCGCGTAGAAAAAAAGTATGCACTACTTTACATGTAATTTACGTACTTATACAATTTTCATTTTCCTCCTTTTTGCTTTGTACATTTAAAAGTGGATCTTCTCACATATAATTCCACGTAACTCTGAATAAATGTACTCTTATACATCTATAAATATAATATTTACTTTGAAACATTTTTATATTCTTTTCATTTTCACGTTGGAAAATATTATAATAATAATTGTTTTACTTCGTATTATATATTATATTTATACCTTCTTTTTTTTTGTTTATTATAAGTAAAAATAATACTTCTTAGCATAAAATCATTTATAAAAACGTGAGTAATATTACGATAAAATATCACTAACATAAGATATATATTATTTTGTTAAATAACGATCACTCGCATAACAAACATAATACGAAAAAATTGTATAACGATAAAAAATTAGAAAGGTAAAGAAAAAACTCTGAAGAATCCAACACATTAATCATATATTTTTTGTAAGTGCAATTTTCGAATTAACATTATTACCGGGACCATTTATTCTTCTACCTTTTAACGTAATTGTTTACTTAAGACGATTTATAAAAAGAGATCATTCGAGAAGCAAGAAAAGACGAGGCGCGTCTAGCTTGCAATAAGGGAAAAACAAGGAGAGGT